GCGCTGCCACTGTGATCTCACTCAGAACAACTGATGGCTTAATCAAAAAAAGCCATTTGTCAATATCCTATCCCTTCCAATTCTTAAAAATCCAGCCAATTTAGGAATCTAAGCGATCAAGAATTTCGCTAGATTTCCCAATGCACATTTCGTTCAAGTTCAATTTGGTCGCGCAAAGCTGCTTGGTTTGAAAGTGAATTCTGTGTGAGCTGTGCTTCATATATTGTATCCACTATTGACAATTAGATCATTGCTCCCACAAAATTTGGCCGAATATGTGGCCGCACCGTAAGATAGCAAAATATCAATATATAATGTATAAGAGTAGCGGTAACTCTTTACAATAACAATAATGCTCATTAACTTTATTTCTTTAGGTATCATAACTAACAATGAACATCAATTTTACAGTATTTATTAATCTAGCATTTAATAATTTGTATTTATAAATGTACTATTGTTAATTTATGTTCATCTTTTAGCTTTTGTTGCAGTCAATTTGGCATAATTTTTGTTCTTTGTTTCTATACACCTCCAAAGTAAATGAATTGGTTACCTGAAAAGAAGCCATGCACTCAATCATTAAAAGAATGTCTGCTGTATTTGTACTATGTCTCGAGTGTAATTAAAAAAAGTAGAAAAATGTGTTCTATTTGTAACAAATATGTATTTTAAGTGTGGTAAGAGAGATAAGTAATCAGTGAGGAGGAACATAACAAATGTTCTGCATGTGAGTTCCTTGCTGCAATTGTTGTAGTTATCCAATTATAAAATGTGTTGAATAACTGTGCTGCAAAAGTCAATGTCACATTACACTCTAAACAATTCTGGCTTGTTTTAACCCAGAATTGGCTAAAATATGGACAAACCCAAATGTTGGGTTAAAAATGTCATTTTTCACTTTCAACTGTACATTTTTTAATTACATTTTAACCCAAATTTGGGTTTGTCCATATTTGACCCAAATTTGGGTTGAAATAACCCAGCATTTAAGTGTACCATAGCTACACACACTGTACCTACACAGATACATCTTCCTCACAGATATAGCAAAAAATGAATTTAAAGTTAGGGTAGGCAATTTCGGAGAGGCTAGCAATATCTAGCTAGCTTTGAAAGCATAAGATCCCACCCTCCTTTCAGAATGGCTCCAAAGCCATGACTCCTTCAAAACGCACAAATGTGCAGAGTCTGCAAAGCGTCACAAGAAACGCGTTAAATTACCTCGTTTCAAAATTCATAACATTACAACTTACAAAGCTCTAGTTGTACCACCTGACTACAGCATGTTCAATTCGGCATTGATAGTGTTGACATAGAAATGCATAAACCTGAGTCTGAGGACGGGACCAGCTGTGGGGAGAACGGGTTGCCATCTTATACTTACGGTTACAACATGGTGTGAATGCCGCAAAAGCTTGTTGCTTTGGTTCAGGATGAAATGTTAAAAGCGGCTGCTGCTTGTTTTGGTGCTCAATGACTGTTTACAACTCTGCATAGCCTCATGAAACGCGCTGATGGTGTGTCCAGACAAGTAAGACATTGTATTCGACATTTGGTCCGGATGCAATGATTGGATGGACATTCTTTTGGTCCTGAGACGTCCACAGAAGATATACAGTATATGAAAGAAAAAAAAATATAATAATATTTAGACCACTTGTATTGATTCCTATAATGAGGTGAAGAGTTTTATCCGGTATAACAAAAAGTGTATCAAAAAACTGCCTACCCTTACCCTACCTTTAATGCAGTCTCCTTTATGTTCAAAAACAACATGGAGGTTTCTTTCAGTGATTTGGTTCTGCTGTACCATGCAAAAGCCTTCTAAAGAGGCCTATAACAGTTATTTTTGTCATGCTTTGATTATGTACGTGGGTTTTAATGAACATTAATGAAGTGATCTTGACTGTTATACTTGAACTAATCTTTGATTACTAAAGTACATTCAGCTCTATCTTTAAATACAAATGCGTTTTTTGTGAAGCTCTTTTCCTTTATCCAGTGGAAGGAGGGAGTAGCTTAATTGTACTTTATAGCTCTTGCTGTAAATGTCAGTCAGGTAAAGAGTATCAAATAAAACTGATTTGCTTAATTAGCTTCCCCTGATTAAGTGCATCAGCCTAATGGAGCTTAATGGAGGCGTGTCAACAAACAGTTATTTCTGTCAAAAAAAGGGTTGTTTTGCAAATCGTCAGATAAAAAAAATCTTTCATGAAATCTTTGAAGAGTTGAACAAAAACATGATTAAATGTTAAATGTTAAATATTTCAGAGATAATGTAGCCTGACTTTGTCATACTCATATTCTATTCAGAATGTGAGTCTGATACTGCTCCATAGGGCTTTGATTAAGAGGCGTGTCTTAAAGGAGTAGTTCACTTTTTAAAAAAAAAATGCTGATAATTTGCTGATAATTTACTCACCCCCATGTCATCCAACACATCCATGTCATTCTTTCTTCAGTCGAAAAGAAATTAAAGTTTTTGTTGAAAACATTCCAGGATTTTTCTCCATATAATGGACTTCAGCGGGAACCAAACGGTTCAAGGTCCAAAAGACAGTTTCAGTGCAAACTGTTCAAAGGGCTTTAAATGATTTCAGATGATGAATAAGGTTCTTATTAAGCAAAAAGATCGGTCATTTAAAAAAAAAATAACAAAGTTTAAGTTTTATAAGCTCAAATGGTCACCTTGCTCTGTTCTGTGATGCGCGTTCATGACTCTCCTGTTCGAACTCGTTTATCAAAATGAACAAAGCTTTTTTTGTATCATTTGGTTCATTCAACGAACGAAATGAACGAGTTGACTCTGGAAAGGATTCATTCAATTTGATGAACGAGTTGGAAAAGGAGAGTCATGAACGCGCAACACAGAACAGAGCAAGGCGACCATTTGAGCTTATAAAACTTAAACTTTTTTTTTTAAATGAGCGATCGTTTCACTTGATAAGATATTCATCGTCTGGAATCATTTAAATCCCTTTGAACAGTTTGTAGTTTGCACTGAAACTGGCTTTTAGACCATGAACCATTTGGTTCCAATTGAAGTCCATTATATGGAGAAAAATCCTCTAATGTTTTCATCAAAAACCTTAATTTCTTTTCGACTGAAGAAAGAATGACATGGATATCTTGGATGACATGAGGGTGAGTAAATTATCAGCAAAAGTTGTTTTTTTTTTTTGTTTTTTTTTAAAGTGAACAACTCCTTTAATCGAACCAGGAAAAAAAAAAAACTCTGCACTCAATTGGATAGACCTACAACCAATCAGAGCAACGCAGTAAGTGAGGGATGTTGAGCGAGCTGTCAACAGAACTAAACTGCATGCACTCTGGAAAAGTATTTAAAAGAAAAATTAGTGTTAACGACCTTTGCCGGTGTTGCAAAAGGAATTTAAGCATTTGCGGAGTACTTGCAAACTCGAAAAATATTTTTGAACCAAAAAGAAAATGTGAATGTATATACGAACAAGTTCTCCGTTTAGGATTAGATCACGACAATAAAGCCAACAAATCTGCTTGCATTTGTCAGACCTGTCTCAACTTTATAACATGGTTACAAGAGACCAGGCTGAAGAAGCGTGTTCATTTGAGTCTTCAGAGGAAAGAGACCGGGAGCCAAAATGATCTTTTAATGATGTATATAATGATGATTTAAATACAAAATAATGAGTAGCATCTAAATTTATTTTAAAAAATACACAGCTTATAAGGGGTACAGTGACTACCCAGCCCGTTCTCATCCTTTAACGTCATATAGAACGCTATATGCAAAAACGGCGCTATACTACGCACATGGCACCCTTTATCGTTAATATAACACGCGAACCCAAGACGTTATAAATCCTTTAGCGTGAATATGACACGCACACCCTACCCCTCACCTAAACTTAGCCCTCACAGCGCGTGTTATATTAACGATAACGGGTGCCATGTGCGTAGTATAGCGCAACCCGGTTTCATCCCAAGACGTCATATAACTGACGTTTTGGGACGTCTTTTGACCATACGTCAATATTCGACTTTTTAGGGCCCCCTTAAACGTCGGTAGATGAGGTTATGGGATCCTAACTCTACCCCATACATAAACCTAACCCTAAACCTAACCCGTCACCTTACTGACGTTAAAGGTAAAGCGTCAGTTGTATGACGGCCCGGGATCGCCATCTACCGACGTTTAAGGGGGCCCTAAAAAGGCGGATATTGACGTATGGTCAAAAGACGTCCCAAGACGTCAGTTATATGACTTTTTGGGATGAGACTGTGTTATATAGCGCCGTTTTGTCATATAGCGTTCTATATGACGTTAAAGGATGAGAATGCGTTGGACTACCAGTATGGGAAGAGTATGGTGTACATGTAGTATAACAAAGCGTCACCGTTGTTTGATGCAGCGATGACTTTGGCATGAGTTGCATCGCCGTGATGCTCATTTCGCTTGCTTCTTTTACTTGGTCTTCCATGAGTGCGACCAAAGGAGAAACCACAATGACAACTGGGTTGTCATTGCGTCCCATATCTTATAGCGACCACTGGAGCCAGCTGATAAATCAAACTTTTGCCGAATCTGGCAGGAAGGACGGCAAACACATCTTAGCGATCGACAAATGCTTGTATGGCAGTTCTCTGTTCGTCTTTTAAAATGAATGCGCTGTCGATTTGATTTCTTGTAAAACAGTCGCGAAAGCGGAATCTATACATCTTCATTCTCCAGCTGCAGTCCTCTTTGTTGTAAACAAGTTCAACCCATGCGCTCTTTGATTGCGTGATGATTACGTAACTGCAGATCATCTGTCCATCATCGCATTAAGCCCGCCCTGGCAATTTGATTGGCTCGACCATTTTTTTTACTGATCATAATTAGGCTACTTCTTAATAGATCGAGTCCAGACCGAACTTCCCGACCAAAAAATGCTGTGGGCGGGGTTCGGACTGGCATCCAGGCTAGAGATAATGGGTATCCTGGTGCAGTTTCAGACTTTTATCCTTTCCATTCTCAGGTCGACACGGGACAGTGAAGATGACGATGACGAAGAGCGGAGAGGAAAGACGTGTACTCTACAGTACCAGAGGGCCATGGTGCGTGTGCTCACACACTTTGTGGCCGAATCCTCTGAGACACGTGGTCAGCTGGCCCACATGCTAGGCAGTGATTGGCAGGTGGATATTACGGAGCTGGTCTGGGACTTCTTGAAAGTAGAGAATCCCCGAATCGCCAGGCTGAGAGAGGGACGTGTTTTGGAGGGCATGGACACAGGCATGACCAGCATTCAGGTATGTGTGTACTGTATATTTTCAATATTATTATATGCCATTTCAGACATTTGGTGCTAAAGGTCTCTTTAAAATATCAGAAAATTTGACCTTTTTTATGACAAGGCAAAGGTAGTGTAACATGGTGTAACTTAAAAAAAAACGTAATGATTTGTAAAAAAGGAAAAAAAAAAACTATTAATGTCATTCCTATTAAAATGACTGGTAACACCTTACAATAGGTTTCATTTGTTAGCATAAGTTAGCTATATTAGTTAGCATGAACTAACAATGAACAATACTTCTACATTATTTATTTAATCTAAGTCAATTAACATTTCAAAATGTACAAATAAAGTTTGAAAATCCAGTTACAGTATATTTGTTAATAGTTGTTAAAGCACTGTTTACTAAAATGGACAATGGACAATTTGATTTTTACTAACATTAACCACATGTATTGCTAATTGTTGGTTCATGTTCGCTAATGCATTTAACAAATGAGACATTATATCTCGTAAGGTTCCCAAATGACTGGATTTCACATTCCCAATAAGGCTGCGACATCAGTAACGAGGTGGCAGAGTCATGTTTTGGGCCGGAATCCTGGGGAGAGAGCTGGTTGGCCCCTTTAGGCTCATCCAGGTATTCAAGGTGTAAAGAACATGTGATGTAACTGTCAAGTAAAAAAGAGTTAATAGGGGGTTTCGCACCTTTTCATAATTTGTAGAACTATTGGCAGAGTTATCTGGGTTTTGGCGTGTTCACATAGTGTCACGGAGCCATCGGCGTCAGCACCAGACACCATCACCCCGCCCACTCGTTCTGGTTCCCCGGACTACTAATCATCCTCACCTGCCTTCATCACCTGTCTTCACTTTCCATTCCCAATTACCTGCAACATAAAAGACCCTTTCACTCAGTCCCTCATCGTCTGGTCTCGTCTTAACTTCGACAACAGACTCCTTACTCGCTAAGTATACCACGCTATCACTTACCCGCTATTGAAGCTACTCTCTCCGGTCCGTCTCCAGTCAGCTCCCGTCCCCGGTTTCTCCCTGATCTCGTCGGCTCCAGCCAGCTCTCCCGTTCCATCCAGCCAGCTCTCCAGATCATCCATTCCTGCTAAGACATAAGAGACTCCCTTTCTGACTGCATCCGCTCCATTGCAATTATCTGCATCTTTACTACTCACCCGTCTGTGATCATTGACTTCCCGTTCCAATTTATACTTACCTGTCTGTGTCCTTCTGGTTCGTGACACATAGCAGGAACTAGGAACGATTTTAGTTAAGGAACTCCTTTTGGAGGAACTAATTTTGATCCTACTTCAGAGTAGGGTCTATCCAGCACTATAGGAACTACCAGTGACACAACAGCATCCGCCATTAAAAACAAAACAAAAACTAAAAAAAAACGATGTAAACACACAGATTATAGCCTATTTATTTACTCCAGAAATTAACTCTACAAACATGGAAAACAGTGGTAGATGGACCTCTTAACCTTCATGAAAATTCAACACAAATTTGAGGGAACCAAGCCGTATTTCTGCTCAGCTAGCAACTCAGGACATCAACCACAGAGCATACACTAATACCTTTTCATATACTTTCTACTTTCTATGTATAACAGTTCTACCTAATAATGTGTAAGACAGATACGGAAAATGCGAGCAGAGCACTATGTGCTCAGGTTCTGTTCTCAGTACCATCAAAATAAAGGTCTGTGTCGGAACAACAAGTGTGGCTTACGTCACTTCAGAGTTCCTATTGGTGGTGCGAACGCAACCAGGAATATGTTTCTAAGGGACCCATTAGTTCTTGGGGAACCACCCTGATGGCAAGTTCCTAGAACTACCCAGTGCGAAAGCCGCTTTTGTGTTCTTTTTTTGGAGAAAATGGAGAAAATTGGTGGCCGACTGCAAACCTACCCTGTTTGCAGCCGATTGATGATGATGACAGCCCATTCTCACCCCCAAGGCGTCACTTAACTGACGCCTTGGGAAGCATTTGGACATGCTTCAATATCTGACGCTTTAGGCACCCTTTAGCGTCAGTTAGATGACGCCCTAGGATCGCGTGTACCCTACACCCACCCCACACCTAAACCTAACCGCGTCCTCTAACTGACGCTTTCCTTTAGAGTCAGTTAGATGACGCCGTAGGATCGTGTCATGTAAGTGACGCTAAAGGGCGCCTAAAACGTCAAATATTGAAGCATGGTCAAAGGTGACGCCTTGGGGTGAGAATGCGTTGAGGATGATGATGTTATTTTTTTATAGCAACAATATGTAATTTTTTTCACCACTAGGGGTCGCTAACTCTTTCAATATCAAAGGTGTAGGTTGATAAAGCAGTGATAAGTGGAATGATGGAACTTGCTATCATGCTGATGGATTTAATAATGTTTATGGATAAGTTTGTGTTATTTTACATGACTGTGGGATGACAGCCCATTCTCACTCCCAAGGCGTCACCTAACTGACGCCTTTTGAAGCATTTGGACATGCTTCAATATCTGACGCTTTAGGCGCCCTTTAGCGTCAGTTAGATGACGCCCTAGGATCGCGTGTACCCTACCCCCACCCCACACCTAAACCTAACCGCGTCCTCTAACTGACGCTTTCCTTTAGCGTCAGTTAGATGACGCCCTAGGATCGCGTGTACCCTACCCCCACCCCACACCTAAACCTAACCACGTCCTCTAACTGACGCTTTCCTTTAGCGTCAGTTAGATGACGCCCTAGGATCGCGTGTACCCTACCCCCACCCCACACCTAAACCTAACCGCGTCCTCTAACTGACGCTTTCCTTTAGCGTCAGTTAGATGACGCCGTAGGATCGCGTCATGTAAGTGACGCTAAAGGGCGCCTAAAACGTCAAATATTGAAGCATGGTCAAAGGTGACGCCTTGGGGTGAGAATGCGTTGGGGATGAAGTAGGTTGCGATTGCTAATGAGAGACAGATATCAGCGCCACACTCGAATCTAAAGTTACACTTTCATACTAAACCGCATTTGAGTGTGTTGAAATTTATGTTATTCTAGGTGTAAGTTTGTTGCCTGTATGAGACTAGCATAGAGACTGCTTGCCATGGTCCATAATGTTTGAACCAATCAAAAACAGCGTGCCGCTAGTCGCTAGGTAATTTTCATTAAAAAAAGCTACATTTTAAACAAAAAGTTGAGAAATAGTGTTTTTTAAAAGACTACAACGTGCATATGAGATGCTTTTATCGTTTGTTTCTGCTGCTTTTTTTTTTTTTTTTTTTTTGATCTAGAGAGTCTCTTTTCTTTCAGAAGTTGTGTAATAGTGCCCCCTACCATATAACAGTCAAAACGCGGAAATCTTGAGGTGGGGAAAGAGTTAAATTGAAATCAATGATGGGGAAAGAGTTCTTTTGAAATTAAACTTTAATTGAAAGTATAACCACATGAAACTAATGTGAACACAAAACAGTAAATTGCTAAGAACTTGGCACAACAAGATATTCCTTTTTTTCTTCTTCTTCTTTTTTGTAATGGACAATTTTGCACTGTAAATAAAGCCCCCTCACTTTTTCTGTAAGTCTAAACACAGTTAATACTAAGCCGTTGCCTTTTCCCCAGCCCACTTTTCTCAGTTTCCAGGAAAGTGGGCTGATATTGCTGTGAAAACATGTGTCTGAGGAGGTGTTCGTCATCTGGATTTATTTTGTTGTTCCTGTCTGCTTTGAGACCAGATACCTAATATATGCTCTTCTGCAGTGAAAGTGTGGGCAGGCAAGAGACTGTCTGTAACACCTTTTTATTGCATCAATCACTAGATGGGTTTACAGCTCTGTGTTTCTGATATTTCTTCCTGTAATTGGAGGCAATCCTCGTGGGCAGAAATGTATCCACCAACCCAGATTGCTTATGAGGCTTGTATTTAATAATGCACTTTTGTGTGTATGCTCCGCTCCAGGTTCTGTCTCCGCTGTCAGACTCTATCCTGGCAGAGAAGACGGTGAGGGTTGTGGATGAACGAGTGACCATCACTGAACTGGGGCTGCAGTTGGTCAGTGGTCTCACACTCAGCCTGCAGCTCAGCACAGGAAGTAACCGAGCCATCAGCGCCACGGCAACCACACAGGAAGTGCTCAGCAATCCTAAACAGGTCATTTTGCAGATTTAAAATATGTGCACAGATTCAATATGTGCTGTTTACTTCCACACGAATAAATATTTTCTACAGAAGGCCAACAAATTAAAGTCTGTGACTTATGCTGAAGAAACAAGCATTCTTGTAGCTTTAAAATGAAAATCCTCGAAAGAAAATGTTTGTATCATTTTTACTTTGTTGACAACAAATCTACTGAACAAAAACCCTTGTAGTCGAACACTTATCAAAATAACACCTAAAGCCTTGTTCACACTACATGATTTTAAAACGTCGGGCTGAACCGTGCGGTTCACACTACAAAACTTGCTCTCAGTGAAATCAGGAGTGTTCAAGTTTTTAGCTGTTCACACCACACAACACAACGTGATTGATCCACAACAGGAGGTAACTCACTACACGAGTTGACAACGCACTACATAGAGATACAACCACGATCGGATGATAAGAGCAAAGCATTTGTGACTCAATGAGAGCTGTTTCAGTACTATGCTACGGTCTAAATCCTGAAAATAATCAAATAAATAACGAGTTGACAACAACTCTGTCACTCAACGATTTTATCTTGTCTACAAACCACGTTTTGTCACGAAAAAACACGCAGTAAATAAATAAATATTGCGCCAATTATACCCAGCGAAGAAGAGAACACAACACGTGAATATGGACGTCAGACAGAAACTAGTGCTGCACACTGTTTGCTCTACGATCTTCTCTGAGGAAAAAAATGCAGAAAAATGCAAAAAAAAAAAAAAAAAAGAGAGAAGATTTACCTGGTGTCCTCAACCTATGCGTTGCTATGATTGGCTGAACTCATGACATCACTGAGTTTGAGTCGCGCGACGGCTCTGGATATCTAGCAGGCTAGATATTTTTCTGGGCTCGGCGACGAGTCTGTGAGGCATCTGCGAGCGTATTCGCTGCGTTGTTGGCTCTTTCATACTAACAGATTGGCAAGCGTTCATCGTCCGCTAATCCCCCGCGATTTGCACGCGATAACACCCTGACCTGTCGGCGACTCAACGATTTGCAAATCGGGCATAAATCGGGCTTAAAATCCTGTAGTGTGAACTTGGCATAACAGGAAAAAATCCAATGAAATTTCAGCCAGTACGCAGATTTTAAAATTTTCCTAATGTTGTTTTGTAGTCTCCTACAACAGGTTTACATGCATCAAAGGTCAAAAAACTGTTCAATTTTCTCATAATGTATTTTCACATCACCACATTGTTCCATGATTCTCAAATGACTCCATGGATGAATCAATCTCTCTAAATCCCACCTTTCCACAAGCTACTCTGCTCTGATTGACCAGACAGCTGAGTCTCTTGTGATTGGTCTACTGCATGTCTAAAACATAAACGCCCATTACAATAACTGAACGGCAGCTCAGGAATTGTACACTGTATCTAAAAGACAGCAACGAACAAAGACATTGATTTTACCATATCAATCCGAGTGCGAGTCCAATGAAGAAAACACTGGAAGAACTATTCATTCAACTTGAACCTCCATCTAAAGGATGACTCGAGCAGGACGTTTCTCAGTAATAAGCTACTCAGTTTGATTTTGATGGTCCCTTTTGAACATTCTGTTGAATATACGTAATTTTACTAACTGTCATTAGAGTATTAGTAGACTGTCTGCTTAATATCTGCCAACTCTTTATTGTGATGATCCTCCAACAGACATTCTACTGACTATAGACGTTATGTAGCCCCGCCCCTTTTCAGCGTTGCGCTTGTTGTCTTTTGACTTCCGGTCTGTATTTCCACAGCGATCTTGAATAGGTATGAATGAACTGTTCGTAAAAAATTCCCGTTCGACATTTGTTAAGACATCTGCTTTAGAATGCTTATGATAAACATTACAATGCTCATGATAACTTTTGATAACCTCTACAATAAGTAAATCCACTTCACCAGCTAATTACTCCTCGACAGGTATGCCATAAAAATATACAGAACCGGAAGTTCAAAGACAATATTCTAAAGATGACGGCGCCCACGTTTCTCTGGTGCATAAGGTCTATAAGTAACTTTGCAACTAGTAGAATGTCAACTTATTCTATCCCTAACCCTACCAGTCTACTAATACTCTAGTGAGAGTTAGTAGAGATGTAGGTGCAATGTTACTTATAGTCAACAGAATGTCTTAAAGGGACCATCCAAATAAAGTGAAACCATGAGATGTTGCAACTGTAATCCCTCACCATCAGCATTAACAAGAGTACTGTATGTCCATCAACAAATCGACTATTTTACTTTTACTTACTTATTTATTTACCGAGCCACCTATTTTTTTCTTATCAATTACAGTGAACATGTGGAAACTGTATAATAACCATGCATACATTAACCGAACTTTAGCGTGAATGTAACATAAATGTTGGTAAAACGAATCTTGCTCAATGCTTACTCTTTACTCAAAGTAGTGAGAACGACAGACGATCTGCATTAATAGACACTTTTAGGTTTTAGGTAATAGTGGCCCACAACTGATAAGCAGCATTGAAGTATTTTAGTAAGACAGTAATAAGCTAGTTAGCAGGAGACCTACACAATATAAAACTCCAAACGATGTATTTTAAACACTGGTAGAAAATATATACATCAATAATTATTCATACTTTCAGGTTGTGATTCTGAGAAGGAAGTTAGCCCAAATTAACTGGGTACTGACCCATCTTTCTTCAGCAAATGTTTGATGAATGCTGGTTTGAACTTCGAGATTTGAGAAGCATTCTTCAGTAAAATAAAGGGAACAAGGCAAAAGTTTAGGATTATGCTGCGGTGGTATTGTGGTAAAGATGAATTTTAACCACTGATTCTTCACATGAGCAGTGTAAAAAAAACTGGTCACATTGTAGAGGGTCTTCTCGACATGATGTTGTCCAGCATCCACAGGAATCAGCTGCAGTGTTTGAGGTTCAAGTTTTCCCTGGTGTATGTGTGCGCAATAAGTGGGTGGGCAATATGCTAATCTGTCGTCTTGACGTCACAACGAAACGGTTTAAGACTCGTGTCACACGCATACGGTATTCGGGCCAATCACAGTGCACTGGATCGCTGGTCAATCAGAGCACACCACGCTTTTCAAAATGATGAGCTTTGTAAAAATCGCCTTTGTGTTTCAGAAAGGCGGGGCAAAGAAGAGCAACAATAATATATGATATGTGTAAAATTGGCTACGTTCACACTGCAGGCTGAAACGACCTAATTCCGATTTTTTTGCCCCTATGCGACCTGTATCTGATTTTTTCATGACAGTCTGAACGACACAGATCCGATCTTTTCAAATACGACCCAGGCCACTTGGGTATGTGGTCCAAATCCGATATGTATCTGATGTTTTGAAATGCGACTTCAATCTGAACGGCCAGGTCACATTTATCCGACCCGCACGTCATTGCACGCACCTGTAGCTAGCCAATACACGCTAACTCCAATGCGTTTCCTCACTGTTATGGGCCGCTGCAGACGTGTCTCTTCCCCAGTGTTGTGCCTGAACGCGTTCAATGAACGATAGTGCATGACCGCGTTCATATACTGTATTACTGCCTGATGAACATTACTGTGAACACGTTCATTCTGGTGTCTGTGAACGTGCGCTCTCTGTCAGTATAACTTTGTACAGTTGGGTGCCAGATTTCTATAGAGCCTTCCAGGCGAAAACCTGGCTAAAACACATGTAAACATGCCTTAAAAAGTAGCGTAAAAAACTAGGGCTGGGTATTGTTAGGTATTTCACAATTCGATTCGATTTCAATTCTTGAGGCTTCGATTCGATTCGATTTCGATTCGATTCAATATTGACTTATAGCTTCGATATCGATTCAATAATAAGTAAATACACAAGTAATTAAGTGCTTGAGTATATTTTTAAGTAATGTGCGCAGTTTTACCAATGTTAATGAACAAATTGACCCCATGTTTGTTTCCTGTCATGGTTTATTCAGCAGAATAAAAATGTACAATATTGTATGTGTTGAATTCAAACACAACTGTGACAAGCACTGTACAGTGCTTTAACAACACCTCTAAAGTGCAAGTAACTAAGTAGTAGAAAGTATATTTCTTTCTTCCTATACATTCAAGTTCAAGCACAAAATGTGCATACTCAAAAAAGTGCAATATTATATTCTAATTATAATTTTGTAAACAATAACACTTAATAGCTGATCACAGCAATTGCGAGTTATCAGGCCAATTCTAAGGGGGAAAAAATACTAACATTTTTCCCTCTCAGAAGTTTATATCTCATAGACTTTATATCATGCATTTCTGACTTTATATCACGCAATTCTGACTTTATACCATGCATTTCTGACTTTATAACACCCAATTGCGACTTTATATCACGCAATTGTGACTTTATATCTCGCAATGACTTTATATCTTGCAATTCTGAGAAATAAAGTCAGAATTGCGAGAGGTAAACTCCCAATTGTGAGAAAAAAAAAGTCAGAATTGTGAGATAAAAAGTCGCAATTACCTTTTTTATTTTCCATTCTGTGGCGGAAACAAGCTTCCATAGTTCCCGGCTTACAGTGGAATCCAAAATGAGCCCAAACGTCGGCTTTTAATGTTGGCGGTGCAGTCTTGAATCAGGCTTGAACGGAGTGCAGCTGCTGTCCGTCATCGCGCTGTTTTGCTAAGGGCTAAAGCGCGACTTGTACAACGCTGAACGCTCTCACTAGAGTGTAGCCCACAGCGCCGACATTAGCCTGGATGGCTGAATCGATTCATAGGATTTGATGAATCGATATTGAATTGAGAAGCAAAAAATTGCAATGCATTGATGAATCGATATATTTTTACCCAGCCCTATAAAAAAACAATCTGGCAACACCAGCCACCAGTGTCGCACCGCGGCCACCGGTGACAAAGCAAGGAGCGCCGAGGACGCGTACTATGAAACGGGTTTTATGACGAGGTCGGTGAGGATCGGAAAAATCTTACATTTATGTGCAAACTTTGCCCGTCGATAAAATAATT